ATCAAATTTTGCCTTGTCACAATATATACTAGTTTGGCGCAGTATTCTAGTATGTTTGCCGTAATATGTAAGTTTACCGGTTCGAATCTCAGGCTACTTTTTTTTCATTTTATCAATCACGTGGTTATTTTTTCATAACCAGTAAAAATTTGGTAATGTAAAATTTTGCTCGACAATTTTTTTTATAATTTTCGCTGTCGGGTAGAAAGAAATTTAAATAAAGTTAACAACAATTAAGTCAGACCATCGTGGTTGAAGTGAGTGGGCGGAGCGTGGATTGTCTTTGCGGGTTTTAAGAATGGTACGCGCGGAAACTATACGTACAAGTGTTATCTACATATGTGTGCGCGCCCACGCACACTGGAATGTTTATTGCAATCGACCAAAAATTTGATGTAGTTTGGATATTGACATTCAGATTTTTTTTCTTTGTTTCTTAAATATAATCAGTATCAGTAAAAGGTAAAAGTAAAAGTGTTATTTTTACCGGTACAAGTTTAACAAACATGAGTAATAAACAAATTACATGTCAATAGCATCACTTTATCTCCTTCATTTTTGTTTGAAATAGAAAAGTACTTTAGCGTTCAAACTCATTAGTCCAAGGCAATATCAAAAAGTACCTAATAACTACGGCGATAGAGTTTAATTACATGTGCTTCGATATTAAAATTAAAAAGTTTAAATATCAAAAAAAAATAGTTGCTTGGGATTTGAACCGCCGAACTTACGTACCAACGGCGGCGAACGGTAAGGCCACGAGACCAAACTAGCATATATGATGACAAACTTAAATTTGATGTTGGTTTTATCTACGTAATATCTGTCATCCGCGTCGAACACTTTTAGTAAATTTTGAAAAATGGTTTGATGCAAAGTGTCAAATGAATGTAACAGAAGTAGTTTATTCCAAATTGTATCACAAGTATATAGAGATAGAGTTCAATTTTGTCAAATGTACCGATATTTTTGAGCACCTTGACTGCTTCGTTACTTATGACGCTGTGGATGCTACGATATTTATGAGCATCTTGCATGTACTCATATATTTGACGCTGTGTATGTACCGATGTTTTTGAGCAGGGTGAATGTATCTATTATTTTGAGGACTTTTGTTGTACCGATATAATTGATTACTTTTGATGTACCTATATATTTGCATATCTTGTCTGTGACGATCTATATGACGCTGACTGTACATACTCAATACATTACATTTTACTTTAATGTCACCTTAATACGAAAAGAAGTCCCTTAATTACAGCTATTTGTGTTCAGCTTTGTAAAATTATTCAAATAATGTTCGAGTTAACGGCTTTTTTGTAACGAATTGCCGCGTATTTTCCCCTGTGTCGTGTTTATGGCCGATTGCGAAATAAAAGTCAAACATCGTAAATTCAAGTTGCCGCTGCATAAACAAATCTTATCTTCACAAAAGCAAAGGCTTATCTCCAAACACATTGACCATATTTTTAAGTAACAAATCTGTACATTTAGCCCACTCACTATGAAATGTAGATCGACTTTGTTTGAGTGCTTTTAAATATGCAACTATTTTTATGCAATCATATTACAAAACATTTATATTAATTAATTCTTATAGATCCAAATTATCACCCCTGAATTGGGGTAGGCTCCGAGCCCCTTGGTGGGGACGTATAGTGAGCTGATGATGACGATGATGATATAGTTCCAAATACAATGAAATTATGGGTCATTATTTTGGAATATTTTTAAACTTACCGCAAAAAAGTTGCACTCACGTGAATTTTTTAATATTATATAAGGTAACTATGGCTTCACTGTACAGGAAAAATATTAACCCGATCATTCGACGCTCTCCCCTTTCGATGAACAAATTAATTTTGAGGAATTTTGGCTTTGTAAAATTGTTTTCAATGTTCATTTAAAATTCATGTTAATATTTTATAGTTTCATTTTTCAGAGCATCGATATTTTGCGTAAAAGTACCCCTAAAATAAGTATACATAGTTAATATAGCACAAGGAACTTTGTAAGTAAGTTAATCTCGCCATATATTTAGCGGTCGCGTAGCACCTAGGGCATTAATGATCCGGCGGAGCGTTACAAGATTGTTGTCTCCTGCCGAGGTGGCAGCTAACATTGTTAGCGCTGTACCATACTTACCAACTATATTGACAGCGAATCGGGTGAACGTTGACATACTTTATCCTAAGCAGTTTACACACGGTAGATTAGATTAGGGTTTTGGCATTACATGCATACTCCTAGCTGAAAAATCATTACTACTACCGTAGCAATATAATGCACGCCACACACTTTGGGATTTTGCAATTAGATTTTGACTTTACATGAATTAAAACCTACTTGCAATCCATAATGTGTATGTGTGACAAAACTGTACAGATATACTGTAAAACTTATACTTGCAAGGTTAATACTGTCGCGTAAAACCTAACGTGTGTAGCCTATATTATTTTGCTACGTTGCTGTAGTTATGAGTGTCGTAGCGCTAGAAAATCTAATTGTACAATCTAATGAGGTCAATTTGTATTTTAGTTAGTGTTAGTTTGTTGTTTATAGAACGCGACAAAAGTACTATGAGATGTTTGTAAGGCAGGTTGGTACTCATTAACGTTTATATGTTATAAACAATATAAATAATACTTCGGAGAAAAGTAGTAAAAACCATAAACAAAACAACACATGTCTAAGGCACACAAACGCACATGCACGAACACACACTATCGCACACTATATATCTAGCATTTATATTTATATGTAAATAACAATAATCTATATTTAATTACATATTTGTTAGGAATATATAACTTTAGGCAATAGATAAGAGAAGGTGCTGTCTCCTGAAACACAGTATTAACTAGTTCAGGCGATAGAGCCCACAAAATTTTGTGAAAAATGTTTTTTTTTGCCCAAAAAAAATTTTAAATTTAACATTTTTTTAATATGTGTGACCAAAATAAATTTGTATAATAGCCTAATATATTCAAACTATATATCCATAGTTCACATCTGTATGTCTGTCACATTTATAACTGTAATGAAAATAATAACGAATTACTAATAGCTTTTCCTAAATATACTTTATTAAAATAACACATAACTACGAGATACTTTTCTCATCGTTAAATCTAATGTTTGTAACTGGATGAAACAACTGAACAAACTATTTTAATGAACGTCGAGGGACACCGCATTCGAACCGAAAGTATTAGACACGTTTAATTTAATCCGCATTACAAACTAATCCAGCTAAAGTGCTACAATATCTGGTTCAGGAACTCGCGCGATTCGCGGTCGCTGCCAACGGTGCGGCCATTTTATGTAGTGATGTGCATTAAGTGTTCTCTATAACTAAAATATCGTATTTACCAACCGATAGAAATTGAACATAACTAAATTATTTTAATACTTAATGAATATTAAACTTTGACGATCGTTAGTATTGCACGTGTGTACATACAACATAATTAAGAGTGTGGTATTAAATTGTTTCAAATAAAAACATACATAGTTTTTTAGGCATATTATTTATAAATATTACTTGAACACTTATCAAATATAAACTATATTAGTAACTATACTAAAATGTTTTAAATGAATGCTTACAAATGTACCTAACGAAATTTATCTTTGGTGCAGAGTCGCCAATATGAAAGTATTTTTATATTTCAAATCTCTGGCTCATCACTAGTCTATGTATGCATTCTGCGCACTCAGTTGTGACATGGATCCGGGCTAATATCGTTAAACGGTTACATTGTCGCGGCTACGCTGCAAATGTCGCCTGTTTCAGAGACATCCACTCTGCTACTAAACTAAAGCTGCTTCTTTTGAATACGTGACGGATTGATGTACTACAAGCTATTATTGCATCAGCTTTTTTTTGTGGCTGTAATTTAATGATTTTGCTCTCAATTTTACATAGAATATTGGCCGATTTTTACATCGATTCTCCTGAAACATAAAATTTTGTTATAAAATTAAGTGAGCTTAATGAATTTTACATTTCACGTAACCTAATTGTATAAGTCAGAAAAGCGTTTTTATATCTGTATAAAGTTCAAGTTATGATTAAATGTCAATTGCTCTCCATCCTTATGTCCAATTTTGCCAATGAAAACAAACGTGTAGACAGATAGTCTCAACCAAAAAGTATTTCTTAAAAACTCAAGATGATCAAGTACTCTTACTTATCGACCATCTCAACTGAGAACACAGCGGGCGAACTGACATTTAAGCCGAAGGCCTCTTTAAACTGTTGTTACCATGTGTCCCGTTCAGTCGATACACGGTTACAATAGAACGTTTGAACTCTTTATATCTTAAGATTTAATTTGTTTACTTATTGTTAAGAATAATTGGCCTAAGAAATAAAAATAATCAGTTCACCTCTCGCTAAAAAGTCTCCATTGTTCACGTAATTCGTAGCACTCTTTTAATTTCAATGAAGTTCTTTGGAGAGCAGTTTCCGGTCTCCATTGAGTCTGTACGATATAATGGAACTAATTTAATGGAGTAAGAAACTCACTTAAAGTTATTAAAACACTATAAAGTGGGCTGCAGTCGCGCTATCACGCTAATTGAAAACAACATTGTAGTGGCCGCTACTCGCTGCAACTTAATTTCTAACATAAGATTGCTTTCCTGTTTTTTTAGACATATTCGCTTTCCTGGAGGATACTCTATACTGAATTTTCATTTCCGTTACAAACTTTCAACAAAGACTTTTGAAAGTTGGCAAGTATGCTTCTACAGTATATTTTCGAAGATAATGTAAGACAATGTAGTTGTTTCCAATACATATAAAAAGGAAGATGCTACATATCTTTCCAACAGAAAATTACAACATATGTAAAAGGTTGTTGAATTGCCTTTAAAATTATGTTACATTATCTTGCTTAGAGAAAAGAAAAGTTCAACCGTGATTACCTCTGTCTACAGAATATATGCTTACTTTACATAATACAATATGAACCATTGAACATTTTTTACAGTTCGGAACGGCTACTCGTGCGTGCCGATTGCATTATCCGAGGGCCTGGATATCCGGCTGGGGACCTCAGTCACTGATATTGAATATGGTGGTCCTGGGGTTGCCGTCAAGGCGGTCAGTCAGAGAACTCCGAATCAACCTCAAACTTTTAAAGGTAAGCTCTATATTTACTTAATTTCTATAAAAGTATAAAGTCCGCTACATAAGTTCAGTTTTAACTTAGTCAATTCGTACAGTTAAAACTTGCGTATGTAGGAAATATTTTAATTGTCAACTAAACTGTAGAGTTTGTGGTTATATTAAAATGTTCTAGTGTAGGGATGATTTTAACTTAATTTCGAAGTTGTATAAAATTGTCCCATTACAATATAATTTAACGTAAGTTTTATCATAGGGGATGAGTAATCCACGGTTAAAAATGACGGAAAAAGAACACAAAACACGGCCGTCGACAAATTAGTGGGCGTTATGAGAAAAATCCACAACGCCGACGGCGGCTCTTGTCATTTCTTTGTCGCGGAATGATTTGCAATTCTATAGCCTTAATTTCACTTTGACGAGGCACAAAAATACGGGTGTCTGTTGACCCAACGTCCTCAGTCATTCTGTCACGTTGCGCTCGGGGCCGGGCATTTGCATACAGCCGAGTCGATGGTAAAAGTGCCAAATAGACTCTAAAGAGACTGTCCTAGTGGCCGTTACTGCCAACTTAATACGAGAAAAAGAACCACTTCCTTTGAGCACGGCTACACGCCAAAAATATCGTTCCTCATGAATTTCTCTTTCAATATTCTCCCCGACAGCTATCGCAATGCAACTTACTGACCCAAATAAAACGCTTTCAGCATTTAACGTAGAAGTTATCGTAGCGATCTCACGGTTCCGGTTATTGATAGACAGTTTGCGACGCGAGGAAATTTTTAAACTTTAAAAAGTATTATAACTTCAAATATACTTTATTTGCTACTCTATTCGTATCCATCTTATAATATGAAATAATATTATTTCTTAAATATGTATCTCCAAATTTAACCTTAAAACACCAGAATGTAGTAAAATGCTTTTGGAGTGTTTATGTATTTATTTGACCTTAACCCGTGAACAAGATGGGGACTCACAGCACGAGATCTCGATTAATGTGAACAGGGTTTTATGTATGCGACGTATAAAGTCCGAAAGCTGTGGGTCGTTAGGTGAGATCAAGTGCAGCTCTAATGCTGATTGCTTGCTTTTATAGCGAAACACTCTCCACACTTACGCCTGGTTTTTACACATTCATAAAAGTTTCAATAAACTTCGGATTTACACGCTGAAATGAAAAGAAAATAATTTTTCCCAGTCATTTTAATAGAGTGAAAACGATTTAAATAAAAAAAAAAACTTTATGGTCAAGTTAGGTCTTTAATTATTTTCTATAATTTATGCTAGAAGTTAAACAAAAGTAAACGTATGTTTTGCATTGAAAAGAAGTAAAAACCTTTTCTTAAGATAGTATAATATCTCATATAAGTAGTCGGTTTATTGTCCATTTGAGTGGCCCTAGAGCGAGCGGAAAGTTTGTATAGAGAGCGATATTGTTGCAGGTGATGTGGTACTGTGCACTTTGCCGCTGGGAGTGCTCAAAGTTGCGGTCGCGAACAACGGACAGAACCAACAGAACTTTGTTAAATTTGATCCGCCGCTGCCCGACTGGAAGGTTTGTAAACTCATACGCCACGGTTAATTACGAACTCGCCTGGGTTTTGTTATTAGACTGTTACTTACACAGGGTGCATGCAGTTTATTACGTGTGCGCTTGGATCTGATATTTTTTCAGTTATTTTTCTCGACTCATAGCCGGGATTTGTTTGTGTTCATGTCTATTTCATTGTTACGTAAGTCTAAACAACTTATTGCTTTTGTACTGTTTGGTATCACGCGCTTCGTATTCTTCCCCGACTGGTTTACCTACTTTTTTCTTGTTTTGTTACCTCTCGTTGTTAATTACTTAATAAATAATTTTGGCAGATTGCAGCAATCAAACGTCTCGGTTATGGAAACCTGAATAAAGTCGTGCTGTGTTTCGAGCGAACATTTTGGGATCCCAGCGCCAATCTGTTCGGTCACGTCGGGACGACCACTGCAAGTAGAGGTATGGTTTTATATGTTAAGCTATTATAACCCAGTGATAACCAAAGTGGAAAATTTAATAACATGTAACTCTGATGGTATTGTTAAATTCTATTATAATACAAAATACACTTCGACATGATATCAGGTATTTGATCAGCTTAATATTGATTATATTTTACTTATATACATCTGGAAATAGACCATACATTTTTTATTCTATTTTTATTTTATATCTTTATGTTTTATGCGTATAAATCTTTTTAATACAAAGATTGTGATCCAAGCAAAATTAAGTTCTAAGCCAATTTCTAGAAAATGAAGTGAACTCAGTTTGCTCTCGGAGGATACGACTCTTAAATTATTTCCAAGCGTAAATAGTGTAAAACTCAGAAACAGCGGCCGCGACGCGATAACGAATTAAAAGCTGAATAATTTAACGCTACTGAGAGACCCCGAGGGGCGCTCTTCGGCAATAAATCACTGCAACAAGCCGAGACATGCTATTTTTTACGTTATGCTTTAGTACACCTTAACTCTTTGTTGGCTAGCTTCATTAAATGGCGATGGGAATACCGGAACAATGTACGACCGGGTCTCGGGTGTTTTTTTATTCGATACAAATTTAACGTTTTCGGTATATCTGATGAACGCTATCGCCCGACGTTTGTTTGCAAGTTATGTGAGAACAGTGCGCCCTGAATCTTTACGTGTACCTTGAACCAAAAACTTAATAATGCCCCCATTAAAGTCTTTATCATTACAGTATCGGAAATCTTAAATTAATTATAAATATCCAAACTTAAACATAAAAATTTTAATAAATTTTTATCTCGAAAAATCTACAATACAAGCTTGAGCGCACTTGGACGTAAAATGAAATATAATTGACAATGTGTAGGGAGACCAAAACGACAGTTACCTTCATGAAAGTCTTTATTATGGAGTTTGAGAGTATTTCACTTCAAACCTTTACAAGTGGAGAAGGTAAAATAATAAATAAGTGAGAAAGAAGTAAAATCGCTACAAGGCGCTGCTAATTTTACAAATTTCTTTGCCATTGTAAGGTGAGCTGTTCCTGTTCTGGAACCTGTACAGCGCGCCGGTGCTACTGGCGCTGGTGGCGGGCGAAGCGGCCGCGGTCATGGAGAACGTCACCGATGACGTCATCGTTGGTCGTTGCATCGCTGTACTCAAGAGCATCTTCGGTCACGCCGCAGTGCCGCAACCTAAGGAGTGCGTAGTCACCAGGTAATGATTAGACTTTCATCCTTTGTTGTAGATTTGATGCTGGTTACTATTTTTAGTTCTGTATTTTAAGTTGACATAGATAATAAAATAAAAAAGCTCAGCATTTTCATATTGAAATCTCTAACAATTTGAGCGAGGATTTCTTCATAGAGATTGAAAATAGGCTCAGTTAATGACTCTTCTTTTAGCGTGGTTCTAAAATGATCTATTTTAAGCTGCTGTGAAGTTTGTTGTATACTATTGTAGCTTTAAAATCTTACCAGACATGATTAGTTAGGAAAGACACGATAAGGATATAATAAACATTTAGTAGTAGCGGCGTAGTTATGATTTCCAAAATAGGCTATCTTTGTTCAGATGGCGCGCAGACCCGTTCGCTCGCGGTTCCTACAGCTTTGTGGCGGTGGGCTCCTCGGGCACGGACTATGACCTGCTTGCCGCGCCCGTGCCCGGCGCTCCCGGAGACAACAGACTCTTCTTTGCTGGTAAGCGGAAAACTAGAAAATTATAAAATGTCTATTCAATTTTAGATTTTAAAATTTTGTTCTGGTTGGATTAAATGTTAATGCAAAACCTTGTATGGAAGGAAGCCCGAAATAACATTTTCCTTATACTACTTCGTATTACTTCCGATCAGGAAAAAACGCTGCGTAAGCTCATAAAAAGTTATGTGGAGTATCTTAAATCTCCGGAAACAATAGAATTGATTTTCCCGCTCTCAGCTCACAACTTAAAATAAAGGAGCAATTGATGGGTCAATAAAAATGTAAATCTTTTAAATATAACATTATTGTCCTTGAACATTCTAACTTAAAATTAAATTATTTAAAAAAAAAGCATTGAAAGAAATATATAAAGATTTTATTTAATTAATCTCTTTAAATAGTTTTCTCATATTATAAATGGACATAACTCTATCAGTTGCAACTGCTAATCTATTACGTATTTTAAATTTTCTCACATATATTTTCCACACATTTTCTTTAGTAAAATTTAGAGATTAAGACCCTTTTTCCAATATCACCAAACATCACATATACCGCGTTTTTTTTTTTTAATATTTATTGGTTATCGTAGGGGAACACACAATGCGTAACTACCCAGCGACTGTGCACGGCGCGTTCCTGTCCGGGCTGCGCGAGGCGGGCCGCCTGGCTGATCTGCTGCTACCACACGTCCCCATACCTTCACACGTCTCCTAGCCCCACAGCCCGGTCCATAGCATCCTAGATTCATGCCTAGATACAGGCAATTGAACTATATGGATATGCTACATGGACGTTGATGATACGACGGCGCTGCGGAACAATATTGTATTTGAATAATACAGAAGTTTAATAATGTGGATAAAGGGGGCTATCGATTGCATCTAGCTGTTGTATCCAGTACGGTTCACTTCCGCGAGCATGACTGTGCCGCGAAGATACCACGGTCGTGCGCCACCTTATCAATGAAATGATTTGTGTACTTGATTTATACTCAGAGTTAGTTATTAGTTACTTAAACTTACCCCTGCCCTTAGTCCTTATTCAAACGGGGTTTTCTTTAAGCGTTGAAATTGAGCGTTGTCGGCTTTCGAGCGACGAACGCTTTGAAATCAATCAAGATGCAAGACTGCGCGATAAAAAAACGTCGTGTTGTAAAAACCGCTACCGTATGAACATATGCATTTGTTCTATTTGAATGCGGAAAAAAACGCCCGTGTGAATTGGTTAGTCTAGATTTAGTGTTATACTTTAATGAGAATTAACGACTGGATATGCTAGTGGCAGCAATATTTCTTTGTAGAATTACAGGTAGTAATAATAAGTAATAGTAAAAGGTCAATTACAAATACTATGCCATATTTTATTTGTGAATAATCCTGTTTAGCATTATGGTTGTGGTAATTTAGCAGACTTCAAAAAGAAGGAGGTTATCAATTCGTATGTATGTTTTTTTTTTTATGTGTGTTATTGTGTTTTTTAGTTGACGAAATTGAAATATAATGGAATTATGAGAATTACTATTTTTAATGATAACAAAATCATTAAGGGTTTTTTTCTTTGTTTTATGTTTTAAATAAAAATTAAACTTGTGTAATAGTTCTAATTTGATTTTTATAAGCAAGTAGAGTTTGTGTTAATACATTTGAAACCAATGCTTATGAATTGTCCCGGCTCGCCCGGTGATATACCACGACCACACAGAAGACAGGCGTCAAGTGGAAGCTATTCCGCGTGCAGTCTGATGAGTGTGCGTCCCGGAGTCCTAATATAGTCCTATTTCCCTTTCCACACTTTTTCTTATAAGGAGGGGATGGGAATTGGAAGTGGACTTTCCGGATGAGAGGATGCATGGAAAGGGAATATATTTTCTTTCTGTGCATCCTCTCCTCCGTCGATTAAAGGTAGGCAACACATATGCAATTGCGTATGTCTATGGGTAACGGTCGCTTCGCTATTTCAGCGATTTCATGTGGCGGCTCGCTCGTTTGCCACATTATGATATTAAAAAAAAAACATTTTTCTAATAAATTTAAATTTTTGAGTAAAGGCCATTTTTGTAGACTTAATTTAGTAAATATTAAAAAATGAAATAACATGCTAACGAGTATTTTACGACAGTCACGTACAATATGATTATCGGATATGTATGGCTAATAAAAATTAATTAAAGTATAAAAATAGCTAACGTCTTTATGCTTATAATTTAGTGACTGAATTTAAATGAGTTTTAATTATTTTATAATCGCATTCAATATGAAATGATGCGACACATAGAAACCGGATTTATACAGAATATACATTTATGTTTATCATAAATATTCTGAATTTTAATTAAATTGGAATTGATGAGAGCAGTTTGATATAATAATGTAAGCTCTTACGACCGTTTTACATTAATAAGGTGATTAGACTTAAACATTATATAAGCAAATTGAACACATTTAATTTTTAGTTAACAATATTTAATTGGCCTACGGCTTTAGTTACATTTCCCAGCTGATAAATTTCTAGTGTAATAATTTCGTTAAGGATTCGTGTTCAAAATAGCAATGTTAGAAAAATGTGTGTACAATTGTTATATGTAAACTGACTAATTTGATCAATTTCGTGAAGCCATGTGAGATGTTTTTAGTTAAATATTGATGGTACTTTAGTTGTAAGCGTAAATTAATTAGTTTAGTTAGCAGAATTACTGTATGAGCGTGGGTTTAATTGATTTTTGTATGGTCTTAATAAATTATAAAAAAATGGTTGCAGAAATCTGGTGGTGGTATGATTTTAAAAATATTTTAAGTGATCTTTCATTGTAGTATTTCCCTCTACCTATTAAATTGTCGTACACAATGCCAATTATCAAGTAAGTCAGTAGTAAAATGTAAAGTCAAACGTGAAGTTAAACCAGCAGTCAAACGTGAAGTCAATCGTGAAGTGAAAGTCAATAGTAAAACGTGTCTTCATATAACAGTTGCTGTGAAAACACGAATAAATAAAACATCGACTGTATTCTTATGTAACGTGTTATCTTCGCGCTTGCACAATGAAATGAGAAAAGGATAAATCGTGAGAGAGCATTCGCATTGTAAATTATTGCCTTATAAAGATCGCAAATCAACATCCATATTTGAAAGGTTACCAGTGTCTACGTGTTACAGCGGTAAAGCTATTCTCGTGTTGAAAATGCCGGGCAAATTTGTATGATCCTATAGGAATCCGGTTGTTTCTTTTTAAGGCAGTAGATCCTTATATAGTATATTTTTTTAAATACACCTATAAATGGATAGTTTTATACAAGTTTGACATCTATTCGAGTGACGATTTTCGTTTATTAAGATAATTAGTGTTCGTGATACAAATACCAGTGTAACTAAAAAATTATAATTATTTCTATCTTATGAAATGTTTATTAATAAATAGATTAAAAACAAAATACTTAACAAACACAATGTGTGTTTTATCTAATTGTTAATTTATATTTTAAATATGTCAGCACACAGTTAAATTTTATTAAACACTAAAAAAACGTAAGGAGTAAGATTGTGTGATTTACTCGTACTGTTTATGTAAATTTTAATGTTCGTGACAACATTGGGGAAATTTACCACAAGAAAAGCCTGATTAGACCTTTTTTCTGGTCTTAATTTTATGCTCCAAATTAGATATCACGGGTATGTCAACCTACAGTTGTTTAAGAATTCGTACGCAGTGTCTTAGTGTTGATTTCTACTAAATATACATCAAAGGAGTTTCAATATGACTATTCAAAGTGATAGTAAAAGTATTGAGTTCTTTAAAATTAATTATTAGACAATTAAAATGAAGAAGCTTCGTTACACGATAGCACTAAAACAACAAAAGGAATGTTTATTTATAGTTCCGTGTTTAGGCGGGGCCAGTGACGGATTTATGGGATCTTTTAATTGGCTTTTTAATTATTTTTTTCGACAACCATGCTGCCGGCAAATTGAATACGGCCCGCGTAAATTCCTGTGATCTTATCTAACCTATTTTGTGGGTAGAAACATAAAATGTTAACCTAATTGTTGTAGCCATCGAACATACTTAGAAAATTAATGAAGTGGTGAAGTCATAGAAATGTTAACTACCGATGTTAACAATAATAGCGTAATATAATAATGAGTTTAATGGTTTTTATATTCATATTTGCGTTACTAAGATAAAAGTGGAAGAAAAGTGAATAAATGTTAGGAAATAATAGACTCGCCTGGTTGTCTATCGAAGAGTTTTGGTCACTATCTTCATTCAGGTAAGTATTTTTTATTTTACGGCACAAAAAACCTGAACCCTCATTGATTTTAACTACATTGGTACAATAAATGTATATACATTTAACAACTTAATTCAAAATTAATTGGCTCAGGATGTACCAATAAATAAAAACTCGTTATATCACTACAGTTTGCTTAGATATATTATTCACACTACGAAGATCAAATTTTAAAATACAATCGAAATAAGATCTTAAGCGTATATCATAAGAGTTGAATTTACAAAAAAGATCTCAAATATAGGACGTTAAAAGAATAAATTGTGAGGTTTACTAGCCCACGCCCATTGATTAACACGACCGATAAAAAGAGGCTTAATGAAGTATTTTTAAACTTAGCATTTTATCACATTGTTAGCTGACCGTGAGCCTAAAAACAGGGAAGTTATGGAGTGGCATTCAAAAATTGAGAAAATACTATTAGAGGATTTTTTCTTATAACTAGTATACATACTAGGTTACATTCGATTTTAAACAAAGGTTGATGATTTTGGTATTTTGTTTATTGTTCTAAAAATATATTTTTTTGTACATAAATGTTTCTCTATAAAAACAGCGAGAATTTCTTAGATTTAAAAAAAAATAATAATATGGCTGAAAAGTATTTATTTAAAATATTAAATGTCAAGTCTTTTCTACACATTTCTCTGTCCGGAAACTCTTCGTCACAATTAACCCTACGGTGCCTTAAAAAATGGTCGCGTAGCCAAACTGACAAACGACGAATTAATATAGGGATCTACTGCCATTTATATCAAGTTTCCACTTTGTACTTACGACGTCCCTTCCGCCCTTTCAGTAATTATGCATCAAGATAAAAGTCCAAACTGTTTGCTTAAGATTTGTTCGAGTCAAGTAATTAGTAATCAACTTCCTTTTACACTCGAAAAAGGAGTTATCAATAGATTTCCTCGAAATATAATTAATGGATACAAATAAATGAACTTCATTTAAATTATTTTTGTAATTAATATGAAGAATAGAGAGAAATACACTTTTTCTGCTTTTTTTAGTTATTTACGTATTTATTTTAAACTTTAGTGACATACCTTTTTACTTGAATATATTTTCAAAAAAACGAAAGAACATATTTTCTAAAAGCGACATCTATTGCATAAATCTCGTATCGAATCAATTTCTTCAATTTGTAGTTAAAGAACTATAATATAGGTGGCGCCGTAACTATCAGAAAATGTTGCGCACACGACGCTTCGAAGCAGTCTGTTGATTATTTTCTACTTTGTTTCAATAAATGGAAACTATTCTTGTTAAATTTCTATTTTTTTTCATAACGTAAAAACTAATTATATAAATTGTGTAATTACAACATAAATTAATATTAAAAGTATTAAGAACAATAATTTATCGTGCTATTATTGCATGCTAGGCACAGATGGCGCTATTTAATTATTTACTTAGTTCACTTAAAATAAGAGCACATTTATCTAACGCAATTTATTTAAAATAAAAAATATAATTATGCTTATATTAAATCGAAATTAAGGTCTGATTGTTATAAAACAACAATTGTTTTCGTTTTCAATGCAACTAAATAGCGTAAAGTACTAGAGTATGGTTTTATACTTACGTTTAGTTAATTAGTACTCAAGGGTCACCCGCTCAGCTTGACAGCACTCCAGTGGGCATTGCACCCCATAGTGGAACTCAAAGTGGTCAGGGTCGTGCCTAAGCGTAAAGGGTGGGTGGACTGCAAAGTTAAATTGTGAACTGTAATTTTAGGAAATTACAAATAAAACATCAAAAAATACTGACAAAAATTATTTATATATCTGCTTTCTTTTATAATGTATATGAAAGTTTTACGAATGTAGTTCATCGTAGGATGAGTTCACAATGCTCCATACAATGTCATAGGTAATCAGTTGGGTCAAATGTCAAGGTAAATATGCTCACTGTCACTAAACAATGGATATGAGAGAAAGGCTATTAATGCATCCATCGGACCAAATATTTCCTTCCGTATAAAACGCAAATTCACAGATTTTTTCTTATTTTTGTTCTAACAATTCAGTGTTAATGTCGTTTAAATTGTTATTAATTAAT